TTGTTTGGTTTGTCCCAGCATGATGTAGAGGCTGATTCATGTCCAGGATCCTGTCCTGTCACCTCAAGTTTAGTACTCTCCGGAGACATTTGGGCGGAAGCGGTCCAGATTCCTGGCTTGGTTGACGTAGACGGTCCATACCTTCGCTCTCAACGGAATCATTGTCAGGACTATCGCCCCGTACATTTCGAGTTCCGTTTTGAGTCAAATTTCGTGGTCACTCCAGCCGGAGTTCAGCAACCGATTGAAGGCCTGACTAACTTTGGAGATCCAGTAGGCCGTTTCGCCGTCGATTTTGGTGTTCTGTGAGAGCGTGCTGTCTAGGTAGGCGAACTTTTCCACTGATACGTGTCGGTTGCCATTCACGTTGATACTGGACACGGTGCGTTTGTACTCTGATGCTGGTTGGCGGGTGATCACCTTGTCCGCGCCGATGGTCAGCCCACAGTGCGCAGAGCCAAAGATCAAGAGGTCCATGGTTTTTCGCATGACTGCTTCTGTCGCGACATTGGGCACACATTAGTCCGCGAAAAAACAGATCGCGAACTGCAGTCGTGGAAAAATGTGCTGAAGCCTGCGTGTGTCGGGTTTAAAGAAGCTGGACGACGACCCTGCAGATGATTTTGGTCCGGGAACGTTTATCACGGAGGCGCCAAATGAAACTGAGGAGTGTGGGAACGAGCAAGCAGCCCTGCCTCAGTCCATTGGGTACTGCGAATGTTTCCGAGATTGCCCCGTTGTCCATGGCGCGCGCCGTCATTGTGTACTTTAGCCGACGCACACTGTTGCGTGAATCCCTCAAGACAACCAAATTTACGCATGGTTTTTTTCAGAGTCTGTCGCGGTTCACTGTTTTGGAGGTTATCGCCAGGTCCTCGAAGGTGGTGTAGAGGTTGGTATGCATTTCATCACACATCTCTTGCAGTCGTCCGGCGGCGAATATGATGCCGACGTTGCTGTTGCACCTTAGAAATTCACGTTGGCCTCCTGGGACCTCTTTTTTTCCGGATGTCCGTTGAGACCATTAAGGATGATGCAGGCGAATAGTTCCCCTCTAAAGTTGAAGAGATAAATGTCTCGGGATTGTTACGGTGTTGACTGTCGCTATTGTGTTTGTAATGATGGACGAATCTTGCTCCTTGAAGTCCTGGACGACTAATTTTATCGCTACATATCCTGTAACAACAATGTGATTTTTTCGAGGCCGCCATGCTTGTAGAGTTCCGCGGGCTGCATCGGATTCCGATACTTTCCCGTTGGAGATTTTTTGCACAGCGTTGACTGTTTCTGGATGGGAAGACGGTCCAGATCGTTACAGGCTTCCAACTGAGGGACTCTGCCGATTGCAGCGTCAGAGATTTTGGATGGATGATTGAGTACGCTTCCGGAGTGCTCAACCCAGCGCTTCATAACCAGCTATTTCTCTGTAAGGAGTGTTGTTCCGTGGGAGTTGAATGGCGAGAAGGCCTCTTTGGCGCGGGGACCATAGACTGTCTCAATAAAGGAGAAATTGTTCATTTCACTGCAGTCAGCGCATCTTTGTATCTCCTCGGCCTTGTGATTAATCCAAGCATTCTGCATCTTCACCAATTACTGCTGTACCACGAGACGAAATCTGAAGAAGGCCGCCATGTCTGGATGGGTTTCGCATTTGCTGAAGGTTTTGTCAATCATTAACTTAGTGTATTTGGAGAATGGCCTGCAGTTGTTCTCTTTGGATTTTCCGAGCAACTCACTGAGCGGAATGTAAACTTTGACGGATGTCCGTCCTTCTTGGAGTACCAAGAAGACCAATCGGTTTGGATCTACTGGACCCCAGCGGAAGCTGTTCGTAATTGCGACAGTCCAAAAGTGGTTTGATGTCGGGGTATGTTTCCGAACATTATTACTGAACGGTTTTTTGAAGTGAGCTAAAGTCTTTAGGGGTAAGTTTGCGTTGCCTTTAAATTTTCTGTAGACCAAGGCTTTTGCATGGTACGAAAGCAGTTTGGATGCGCCCTATTATTTGTTTTTAATTTGATGTTTGACCCTTTGAGTCTGTGTTAACAGTGTATGGGTGGAAGTGTCGGCGGGAACACTGTCCACACTGCAACTCTGAAACGCTGCGTTGTCACATTTGGGTTGTCTTTAGCGAATGCTCCGAGATCTCTTTGCACATTTGCCGTTTTAAGTTATTTATTTCCCGAAAGATGCCGTCTCGAAGGTGCACTTATTTTCTGCGTCTTGCTGACATTACGTACATTACTACACATTTGTTGATTCATATTTACCCAACTGTGAAAAACTCGGCGCCTCGGTGGGATTCGAACCCACGCAGTAAGGGGGAAGGCTTTAGTACAGCCAACGCTCTAACCACCTGAGCTACGAGGCCCCGCCGGACGACGCGAGTTTTATCACACTTGGGTCAAGTTACCCGCCCAACCTACTGCAACGTCTGGAATCCACCAAATCTGATACAGTAAGTTGACTGCCCAAGCAGGATTTCCTAAGTAATTCACCCAGAATCCACCAGATGACTACTAGGCTCACGTAATTCATTGATATTTTGGCAGATTTTGAATAATTCAGTGAATTACGTGAGCCTAGTAGTCATCTGGTGGATTCTGGGTGAATTACTTAGGAAATCCTGCTTGGGCAGTCAACTTACTGTATCAGATTTGGTGGATTCCAGACGTTGCAGTAGGTTGGGCGGGTAACTTGACCCAAGTGTGATAAAACTCGCGTCGTCCGGCGGGGCCTCGTAGCTCAGGTGGTTAGAGCGTTGGCTGTACTAAAGCCTTCCCCCTTACTGCGTGGGTTCGAATCCCACCGAGGCGCCGAGTTTTTCACAGTTGGGTCAATATGAATTATTCAAAATCTGCCAAAATATCAATGACATTTGTTTATATTAAATTTAATAAACCAGATCTCACTCTATGCCTGCAGCTTTCATATGC